TGAAGGCCCGTAGGTGGCCTATTCATGAAAATTGCACAGGTGGCCGCTCTAAGGCGGCCATTTTGCCTCCTGACTTGCTCCTTGCTTCAGTCTGTTTGGGTGTCTCTGTGGCAACCCTTGCTCTCTGCAAGCACGGATGCAAATTCTCTCCGGATGCAGATGGTTTCTGTAGCCTCCAGATTAGTCAGTGGATTTGAGGGAAACCCGTCTGTTCCCATAGTAGCGGTTGACGACAGTAGACCTTTGGGAGTGTGATTTGCCTATCTCGGCGATCGCTGTACGGTGACCGGGCCGAGAGCCTCCACTCGGTGACAACCGTTGCTAAGAGGAGTTCCCCATGGTCTCGGCATCCTCTGACTGTTCCCAGGAGGGCTGACTTCTAGAACAAGCAGAAACTGGAAGCAACGCCCTCTTTTTTGCTGTGCTCTGAGTTATCAGTCGTCGCCAGCCCTGCTGTAAATCAAGTCTTCAATAGCACTTTTGAAGCACATTATCACAACTTATAAGCAATCTGGGAAGGATTTATCTATTCCACTGAGCACCAGAAAGAGACCGGCTGCAAGTGCTGGGCACCTAAAACCCGTGGGTTCTTCCCCCAGAGCCCCCAAAAGTTATTCCCAAATTGTCATTTATAATGGGATTTAAACAGTAAAGTAATCATTTTACTGATTGATTCAATTTATATGGCCGCCCATCTCACATACATGACTCTGGGTGGTGCACAGCTTTAAAATCAATAAAAAGGTATGTATAATTACTAAAACAAACTTTAAAAAAAGAACACAAAAAATAAAAACACACAGCAGCCAGAGGAGAATCATAAAAGGCCTCCAACGTAGCCAGAAAACAGGCTCTGCCACACACCCTTCAGGCACACACACTTCCTTTGTTTGTCACATTAAAAAAACAAAATTTTGAATAATCCAGCAGTAAATAATCAAGTAGAGGTTGAGCAAACATGGAAAAAGAAAGTAGAGGTTTGGGCATTTGGTGCTATACCAAAGATCTGGAAAAGCTCTTGGATACAATAGGAATGGATTGCGAATTTCAATTACGAAAAGTTGCATTACTTGGAACAGTGCGCATATTATGACAATGTTATTTAGCTGTCCTAGATCCGATAGTCAAAAAACCCAAATCCAATTAGAGTTATGTGGTAGACTATTTAATAACAACAATAATTTTATAATGATTTTATTAAAGATTACAATGCACAGATAAAATTAATACAAGCTACAAAAGATGAAAAAGTAAAAGTAAAAAGTGAAAAATAGAAAAAGAAAAAAATTAAATTTTAAATTAAATTAATTTTGCATTATTTTCCTCTTCCCCATAATTTCAGCGTGGGAAGGCTAAGGTAACCATGACTCCTCCGTCTTTTTGGGGTGCCTTCAGGAGCCTTCTTCCTCCGCCATAATTCTGCCTTTTGTTAAAAATGGTCAACTCTGTTCTTTGCCCATGCTAGGCAAAGCCCATCTCTCGTAGATGACCTAAATTAAATTAAATTAAATTAAATTAAATATTAATTTAAATTTAAAAAATTAAAGAAGAAAAGAAGTAACTTCCCCCTTCTTCCCAGCAAGTATACGCAACTTTAATAACTTATCACCATCTCTTAAAATACAGAAAATGATCTCTTTGCCCCATTTCTCACCTCATCCTCAATAAACATATCTATAAATCTTCATCACCCATCCAGCAAAAGTCCATTAAGAGTTACCAGACATAACCACACATCTATTATAAACTTAATCTAATAAACCCACTTAATTTCCTTCTTTTATGTAATTTAATTATAACTAATGAAGCTCAAGCTCAGATACTTTGGTCACCTAATGCGAAGAGAGATCTCTTTGGAGAAGACCCTGATGCT